GGGGAGCGGCGTTTCTCTGAGGTTACGCCTACTCCGAGCGTCCCTAAATGCCTTCCCTGCGCTGGGGCCAGGAGGCGGCCTCTACTGTCGCAGCTTGGAGCAGAAGCACAGGAGGGGCCGCCCCTTCCCAGGACACCGGGGGGGCCGCTGGCACCGCTGTGCCTCGCCCTGCCACAAAACAACCACCGCCCTTTGAAAGGGCGCGCTTATAAGTCTCATTTTTTGCCATCCCATTCCAGTTCATTCTGAAGTGAGTCAGAAAACTAAGAAGATAGGCAAGAACTTCATGCCCGCCTACTCAAATAACCAAACAAGAAAGAGATTTGCAAACAAAGGGTATCTCAGATCTTTGTGTATCTCAAAGGCCCAGTAAAGGAGGGTGGAAAAGCAGCCGTCTTTCATTTCAGGCCTTTTTCAAAGGGAACTGGCAGACCCAATGTGAATCCAGCCTGAGGAGTTTCTAGTTTCTGGTTAAAGAGAGTACGGCTGCCTTGCTCTTGTTTTGTGGCCTGTAGGTTCAGATGGTTTTAATGTGCAGAGGGTTGTGGTGCAGAGGGTTGGTGTACACATTAAATTCTCCAGAATGATGACTGTGTGAGGCAAAACCATCCCGTCTGGGTTGTTCCCTTCTGAGCCCCAGGGACACTTGGCTCAAGGCTGCTGTGGTTTGGTCCCTTCTGCAGACTGGTGCCTACCTGGACGCTGAATTTTTGCTCCCTAGTAGCGTTTTGATGATTTCATCATTGCAATCAAACATCTTTATAAAGACCAAGTACCATTTCGATCCTAAGAAATTAATTGTGCAAGACTGGTAGCAGTTGTGCCTGATAGATTGGACATGTATTCAACCAAGTTGCCGTTTTAAGCAGGTGGAAACAGGAGTTTTGTTGTTTTCCATGGGAACTGGATTGCAGTAGAATTTAAGGAGAATTTTCTGGGATTTTGCTCACAGTTTGGATTTTGAACCCCAGTCCTGCATTCCTACAGGATATCAGCATGAATGATTGATTACGCAATCAGTTCACATAAGTCATTTACAACGATTACAATTTTCTTACGCTTACTCTAAGGAGGCCTTAAACCTGAACCCAGTGAACGCTCTCCCTAACACTGGCAGCGTGTAACTTTTCTGTGGTCTGTACCCAGCTAACAACTATGCTGACTCTGCTACATCTGTAATTTGATGTAAAAAGAAAGAATGAATTGATGCCTTATGAAAACTCTTGCTTGCTTTGGGTGTCTAATGCTTTGTTCAGTTGCTGTTGTTGCAATAGAGACTTCCATCCTGCAAGGAGCTCACAAGAGAAAGGTTCTGCAGGAACATACAGGTAAATATAAACCAATTTTCATTTTTCTGTCTATTTGAACAGTGGGTTTGCTATATAATCCCGGGGCCATGGGTTAACATGAACCTCACTTCGAGTCTGTAGGCTGTGAAGGGTGAACCTGGGGTCTTCCCTGAACAGGGCATCAAGGCCTTGTAAAAGAGAAAGAAAACATTCAGATATCTTTTCCTACTTCTGCCCTTCAGTCTCATGGTTACTGTGTGACTCGGGAGGAAGGAGTTACCTTCAGTGAAACAGGTCCCATGTGGTTAAGGTTGCTAGCCCTTGTTGGCTGTGTAGGTTTCCCTCAGTCTTGCCCGTAACTGTAGCTGTCTAAATACAACCTGCAGTGTACCACAGCAAAGCCACGGTTTGTACTGAAAATGCAGTTAGGGGAGGTGTCCCCCTGTGACCGGGACACATCCCTGACCTAGGCAAGGCTAGAGCGCAACAAAATTAAGTGTTTAAACCTCCTGTTATTACAGGATTTTTCTCTATTCAAAGCATAGTCAAGATATTTTAAATCCTGTTTCACTGTTTTGCCATCATCCTCATGCTGCCGGAGATGGTTTGTTCATGTGGCTTCCTGACTGTGGTCTCTTTCACACTCTCCCAAATCTCACTTCTTTAAAAGGGGGATTTTTCCTTGTCACTTGACATTCATTTTAGGGAAATATCTTTCCCCTAATGAGGAAGTACTGCATTGCACTTGTGCTTTTAAGATTTTTCTCTCATGTAATATTTATACCGCTACAGTTAAACAAAAGCTTTCTGAGCAGGAGCGGTCTTTAAATGTCACTGCAACTGTAGGGAGGCGATGGGAAGCAAGAGGCCAGGGATCCTCTCACCATCATGTGATGCTGGCACTGGCTTGGATTTTGGGTCATGTGGTGTGTGTCCCTCTGTTTCAAGCATCTGTTTGATTTTGAGGCAAATTGTTTTCTCCCTTTCCTTTTTTCCCTCTTCCTCTGAAATGGGGCTAAAGCTCCCCCTCTGCGCAGGAGCACTGTCAGACGCGGGAGTCACTCGGTGTTTGCCATGGCAATAGGGGCCGTGCTGGCACCTGCAGCGAAGGATAAACCTGAGGGTATTTCAAAACCAGAAAGATTTGGTGAATCAGACAGCCCAAGGGATGAAGGTGTAGAGGGAGGCAGGCCAAAGTTTTAACTGTGATAAAAGACGTTTAAAATCCTTTAAGCACCTAGCCTGAGCTGACCAGACCTTGAGAACTTGGATTTCAGAAGCAGCGGAGCCTGGTGAAGCCGCTGTTGAACTCGTTCCTTTAGTTTGTTGTCAGGAGAAAGCAGCATGGCCCTTGCTTTCCTCTTCCTTCCTTCAGTGTTAACTTTAGTCTTTCTTTGAACCATGTGGGTTTTCTTCTGATTTTTTATCAACCTCTTTTCAGAAACTTTCTCTTCCTGTGCCACCACTCGCTGAACTCTGTTTTCTGTTAATGCTCAAGTGTGTCTCTTCCCAGCGGGGATGTCAGAGTTTGCAGAAGTCACTGCAGAACACAGCGCTATTTCCTGCTGATTTTCGCTTTTTCCTCAGGCTGGGGGTTCTGTGTAAAGGCAAACACACAGAATATCTGAACATATATGTGTACACACACACACACACTGACACTCTCTCAACCTTTCCATCTTCCCAGAGCTCAGCTGAAGCCATTTGCCTACTGCATGGTTCAGAGCGGCTCTTGGCGTGCTGGCTGGGGCAGGTTAACGGCCTGGGGGGCTCCGCCCGGGCTGTCCTGTCGGCTGGGGCTGAAGGGGGGCTGCGAGCAGGGATGGCGTTTCGGGGGAGGCGCACCTGAAGGGAACCGATGCTGCGGAGGGCGTCGGCGAGCACCTTAACAATCCATCACCGGCTTAGTTAAAACACAACCGGCAGGCCCGGCAGTTAGCGCGCAGCAGC